CAATTTATTTGCGTATGTTAGATTTTAGATACTATTGGGGTACCAGTAGGACAGGTATGAGGAAATGGTTATAAGGGGAGGATTGGATGGCTATAATTTCATCAATATCTTCTGATGGGTAACCTTCTCATCTTCGATGAGCCTTTCAACTATTCATTCAATTGTATATCATTTCATGCAATTATATTATCACATCTATATCTACGCGATATATAACAAAAAAAAAGAGACAAATTTAAAAGATAAACTTTACAGTAATCTGTGCAAAAATAATTTAACTAATGAAAAATTTGCCAAAAAATTAAAATTTACTAATAATTTAATTTTATTAAGATCATGTAATTTTTGAAATTGTTAAAAGTTCCCACAATATTGATAATGAGAAAAAAAATTGATTAGGAAAAAATTCATATCTGACTCGATCTATTAGTAAAGTTCAATTCTTGTTCACATAGATACAAATAACATCAGTTGAAATATAATAGTGAACCGCTGTTAATACCGCATAAAATAATAATAATCAGTTATTCATTAAGAAAAAAATATTTAATTTATCGGTCACATTTCAATTTCTTTTATCTTTCCGCTTATTTGAAATCTAACAAATTACTGTTGATGAATTTATTTCCCACGAAAAAAGAAGTTTAATCGATTCAATTATTAATGGACGTTTTTTTTTCTGACTATCAAAAAAAAAATAATGGTAACCATCGAAAAAGAGAAAAAAACATTATTGTAAACTTCTTCATTACAATTCATCTTCTAAACCATCCATTTCTAAGAAAATACTAAATGAAAATGAGAAGAAATTAGAAAAGCCAGCTATAAGCAAAGATAATGTAAAATTCTCGCATTTCCGGTAAATAATGACCATCGGCAAATGTAATGCTACTAATGGTCATTGTTCAGAATGTTTTTTATGGTGTATACAAATTTTGCTGAATCAAATTTACTCTTTTTTTTTTAAGAATGGGAATAAAACAGTTAATATTGCCATCTCTCAATGCTATGATACTGAAAAAAATTGTCGTGAACATTATACGGTGCGTTCTGAAGCTTCAATTAATCATACTGAATAATGAAAACATTTTAACACTAAATGCTTACATTTGTTTACGTGTGATCACCATTTTACGTGATCGCAATTTAATACACTTCCTAAGTTTATTTCCATAATAATTTTTTTCTATTTTCATGATAAATGCAACTATTTTGACAAAGATGCGCTATACGGCTGTCTGCATAAGAAGCACTTACTTTGGTTCCGGTATAAGTTGTCGTTTCCGGATGCTTGTCAAAACGTTTTCACCCAGATGCCAGAATATAACAATTAATGTACTCGCTGCTACTTCTCTCACGTCAATATTTGGATCAACCATCAGATGACAAAGGGTCGGAATCATCCGATGTATTTGCGGTTCTACAAATCGCCTCCTAAAATTCAGAGTTTGAAAAGAGATTTTTCAAATCTTGTCAAATTCTTTGTTACCAATTTATTCGGAGAATAATAAAAATAGGGTATGTATTTCACATAATTTGATAAATTCAATTCTATGTTTTATTTTGAAATTTTGTCTAACGATTTGGGTTAAAGTAAAATCATTGTTATTAGAAATTGTTGTATAACTCAAAGTTATAAATGCCACTTTTACAATGCATTCATTACTTTTCGTTGAAAAATCGTTGAAAAATTATATTCGTCCTTTTTAATATATTTTTTTTCGATAAGATGAAAATTTTTAGGGTCAAAAAGCGAATAAAAAAGAAGATCCCCTGTTCATACATTAAGATATGCCAAAATAATAATGGTCATCATTTAAATTAAAAATACAATAGCGGGAGGCAACAAATTTTGGACAAATAGATGGACAACAAAAATTGATCTGAATGTGATGGAGGTTCTATCCTTCCTTTTTTTTACTATTTTATTATCACACAAAATGAAAATAATTTAATTTGTCAAATGGAAAACTAAATATTTTAAAAATAAAACTGAAGATTTTAGAATAAAATATAAATCAATGCAAAAATTGAGAGAGATATTAGTTTTCAATAATGAAATTAATTTTAAAATAATATTTTCAAACACTAAATCTTTTGCAGACATTTTGTTTTGGCATCTTGAAATGCTTCAATTTCAATTTAATAAAACTTACTGATGTTCGAGTACCACTCGGGTTACATGCATGGTACCAATACGTACTAACCATTGACGATGATTCAATCCAAATGATATTCTTTCAAGAACAGCCTGAAAAGAAAAAAATAAATAATACACTTTACAATTTGCCGTGATTATTTTGTCATATCAAACTCATCAGTGTTTTTGCCCATATTTTATTGGCAATCCAATGGATAGATCAATTTCCGTACTTGCAAATCGATATGAAATAATTTAAATAACTATTCAGTTAAATTTTAGTAAAAATTATACAGCAGCAATCCGAAAAGATACACTTCAATGGATGATAAATAGTGATCTAATTGCATAAATTAATCCTCCACTATTCATTCAATAAGTGTGCTGATTAAATCGATACTGTATCATATTTTGATTACAAAGATCTATGAAGATGAAGTATGATAAGTGTGACCTTTCAACCGAATAGTAATGAATATTGGGTTGGATTGGAATAAGAACGATATAGTGCCTTACGAATCCATTTGTCAACATTATTGAAAATACTCAGTATTCACTGAATATCGACACTATCAGTGATTATCAGTAATCGGTGATGTTATGTTTAATGTAATAATGATATATGGAATGTCTGTTGAAGTGAGGTCATACAAGGTTTAAAGTATTGAACGATATGAATTTATTGTGAAAATAATAATGAAGAATAAACGAAAAGTTGGAATAACAATGAAATATAAAGATGAAAAAGTATATTGAAACCCTGCACAAAATTTTGAAGAAGTACTTCTGAAATATTCAGTAAGAATGAATTCAAGGAATTATTTAAAAATTTAATGTAACATATCTCTTTCCGATATATTCCGGATACATCAAACATATGTCTTTTAAAATTACTGATCGATTTTTAAGATCGAATAAAGAATGCAAGAAGGTTTACGTCTCTCTCAAATAGTAATGTTATAAATGATAACAAGCAAAAGTAGAATTTTAATACTACCTGTTTGATGAAATTTATTTTACCTGAGGACTACAATGTGATGTATTTGCGAGTGCAGCAAGAAGTTGAACCATAGCTTCACGTACACTTTGTTTTGAATCACCCAGACGTTCTACTAAAGCAGTAGCTCGATCCAATAAATATGGTGTGATTACATCCGCGGATACCTCAATTGCTACATCAATAATTTCTACTGCAAGCAAAGCTACCTGAAAAAAACAGTGTCGAAATTTAATTTTATTAAAAATTTTTTTCATTTCAAAATTTGTCGAAAACAGTTTCTTTTTTTCATAGAACTAATCATTTTCATTATTCATAAAATATGCAGTACTATGTAATCTTATAATTAATCGGATAATCATAATAAATTTTTCTAACTTTATAATTAGAGCCGGAAAGCCATTGTACTACTAAATCGCAGAAATCATTGAGAAGTGTGGAGTCAGACGACAATCTGGAAATTTGTAACTGCGACAGTATCTGTTGTCCAAGTTCCAAGCGTTCGCGTGGATCCGAACTGTTTTGTTCCAGTAATTCAGCAAGCCAACTCATTGTTTGTTCTTTCCAAATTTCACATACAGCTTATATCATATTAAACATATGAAAAAAGAAAAGAAAATTAATTACTTTATGCATTAGCGCTATCACTTATCAACAATGATAACAAAGCGCGGTGATATCATCGCATCCTATTACTGAACACAACTGAATGTTTTGCACATGAAAAGCATGGAAAAAATTTATGATTGCTATCACTGCGATAGCAAAATGTACTGATAACACTGATTAAATAGAATCTGACGCTATTTTATTTTTACAGCATCATTACTATGTAAAATTTCTTTTTTGATTAAAAAAAAAATCCGCCAAATCAATTTATTTTATGCAGTAAATAAAATTTGTAAATAAATAACTAAATAAATCAAATATGTGAATAAACAAATATAAGATAAAAAACTGAACAGATTGGAAATTAAAATAAATGTAAATATTAGTAATAGCATTAATTAATATGCATTTGATTGATAGGCAAATTAATAGGTAACAAATAAACAATCATCAAACAGAAAATAAACAATTAATTATTATAAATAAAATGTGACGAGCTTTTTATAATGCCATTGAGAAATATGTGAGACAACAAAGTTAGCTATAGCCGTTTGTAAAAGCCGCCTGCTCAAATAATGCAATAGCAAAATGATATTATTGAAAAAGAATGAAATATGATTGGATTTAATATTTTTTCATCCAATCAGTTCAACTATGCGTTTGTAATCTTAGCTATCAATTTCGAATATTCTCTTCGTATATTTTAATTAGGTGAAAAAAATTCAATTAAGCAAGCAAAATAAATTACATATCAAAATAAATTGGCTAATGGTCATTTTATGGAAATGGAATGTTTTGATTTTACCAGAAGATGCTGGCTCGTTAAGAGAAATTAAATGAATTTGAGAGTTTTAATCATTAGCTGATCAGATAATCAGCTAATAATTGTGCATGTATTAAAATTATGTTAATTGGATAAATTTATACTCTCAAGAAGATTTACACCCATCAGCAACACTCAGATGAGTACTCTTTGAAAAAGATTTATATTTTTGTTATCAAAAATCCTCGACCTTCAGAATGTGATTTGATCAGATGGTTGGTGTTTGTGAGGCCATCAGAAGAATCTTTCTCATTATCAAATTTTAGTTAATCCTAAAAGTATATAATTAATGACCAAACTATTTTGATTAATAAATGATATGAATAATATGAATGAAAGTATAACAAATGCATAAAGATGACGTGAAGTTATAAAAGTATGCAAAATTAAAATTTTAATGAAAGTAAATCTGACAACAGTTGGCATTATGATGATGATGATGATTACATTCATAGATAATTATGATTTTGAGGATTTTACGTTACTGAATTCAATTTCTCAGTTAATTTACATATCAGCAATAATTTTACTGATGAAAGTGAAAACTAAAATATGATTTCAATGTTGGAAATGGTAACAATTATAGGAATTTTAAGGTATTTAAAATTGCATTCCTTAATTGAGATATATGATTGTAATACATGGAAATATTTTGTTTTAAATTAATTTAAATTTCAGTAGAAATATGAATGGATAACAGGAAATGAAAGAATATTGAGGGGATAGGGGCTGTTTATAAATTTTATTAAAAAAATGAGAAGAAAAAATTTGTAGGAAATGCAGAAGAAATGAAATGTATTGTTCAAAGTTTTCTTTTTTTCACTTCTGCCCTTTGGCTTATTTTTCACCAACTGTCTGATTAAGCAAGCGGAAGTGCAATATATTCAATCCGCACTTTTGCTTAACAATTAGTACAAAATAAAGTAATGCTTCTTGCAGAGTTCGATAACAATTTTGAAATTCTCACAGGTTAGAAAAAGAAAAATTTCACTTTCCAGTGTTAAAACTCTTTAATAAATTCCTTAATGGGTCAAAAAATTATGTTATCGTGTCACATCGGGAGGACTTTAGCATCTCAAATTATAATAATTTTTCACTCAATTGATGAATAAAATCATTGGTAGATTGTAAAATTTGAATTAGTAATTGGAGCTCAATTATATCATTTTCTGCTTCAACACAATCACACAAAGGTTTTCATCCTTGTTTACTTATTTAATCGTTTGCATTTACTCTGACCATCCAGAAATTTCATAATATATTTTATATTTTTCTAACTGAATTAGAAATGTGACAAATAAATAAAATATTGCAAAAGTTTTTTTTAAAAGATTTTATGAGTTAATTGCAAAAGTTATATAAGTTATGGTCTGCAATCTCACAATTCTTTGTAAAAGAAAACAAATTTCACAACAATCGATCAAAAATGATTCATTCGAGTAATACAAAAACTCGTTTCCTAATTATAAAAAAATACAATACATTCATTTTTATTTTTATATTTTTTTTGAACTATCGAATAAACTTTTACGGTTGTATATTTTCTGTTAAAAGGATCGAAGGATGAAATAGAAATGAAAACGAAAGAACAGTGGATGAATTCATTGAAGAAATATAAAATGCTACCTATTTTAAACAACATTTTATACATTAATTAAATGGAAATTAAAAACCTAATATAGCATGTTTATTGTAATATGTATTATGTTGTAACAGCAAACGAAATCTTGTTTTTCTGTTAATTTACACTAATTGTATAAATTATAAAGAAGTATTTATGGGAGTGATGAAATTTTATGCCAAAAAAAACACTGAAAGAGAGAAAAAAGAAAGAGAGAGAGAGAGAGAGATGGAGTGAAGAAAGATAAGAAGTAAAAAAATTACTAGTGAAAAAAATGAAGAATAAATAGGAAAGCTTAATAAAAATTTATCGCAAATAATATAAACATAAAGATAAAAAG